GTCGCCGCCGTCGACCGTGGGCCTGCTGAGCCGGCTGCTCCCGCGCCCCACAAGCCCGCCGACGCAAGCCTCGACGTCGCGCACCCGACGCTGGCGGGACGGCTGGCCGCGGGCGACAGGGACTGGGCCTGGAAGGTCGGCATCCGCGCCTCGGTCTGCGCGGCTGCGGCGGTCGGCGTCGGGTGCGGCGCGTGGATCGCGGCCAACGCCATCCCCATGGAGGCCGAAGCCTGGAGCCAAATATACGTAGGCGACCGGGCGCCCGCTGTCGCCGGCCTGGTGGCGGTAAGATGGCACCATTCCGTCCCTTTCTCTGCTCCTTTATTTTGGTCAAGTACTGTACTGACCCCCCGCAAAACCGCCACAACAGTTCGCCGCGTCCCTCATCTGGGGCACGACCAATATGCTGATCCGGTTCTGCCGTCGCTCGCTGCGGCCGATCCACCCCGGCGCCAACGTGGGCGTCGACCTCGTCTTCGTCATCTACCTCGCCACCTTGCTCTCCTTCTCGATCCCGGCCGCTCGGACCGTGGCCGGGTTCGGCGACGACCCGGGCCACCTGCCCAACCCCGTCACGAGCTGGCTGTACGACGGCAGCTACGCCCTGAACCGCGCCACCGACACGTGGGAGTTCACCATCCACCGCCTGTTCCCGGACAGGAGCTACATGGAGTGGAACGCCACGTCGGGCCAGTGGTACGCGCCCGCCTCCATCCCGGGCTACAAGATCCAGCGCGACTGCCGCAGCGGCCGCTGGGGCGGCGTGGGCTTCGCCGACTGCGCGGCCCAGGACGCCTTCGTCAACGGCATCTGGCGCCAGAAGCCGACCCGCCTCGCCGCCGACGTGGCCCTCTGCGCCGCCCAGGCCCTGCTGCTGGCCGGCCACCTGGCCCTGTTCGTCTGGGCCTGCGCCGACTGCGCGCGCCGCAACCGCCTCAAGCCCGCCCGCGCCCTCGCCCGCCAGCTCATCTACGACATGGTCGACCGCGGCGAGCTGCTGATCCCGGAACACCGCCAGTCCGCGCGCCTCATCCACCCGCAGCCCGCCGAGTTCACGCCCGTGCCCGCCCACCTGCGCCGGCGCGGCGGCGGCGGCGGCGGCGGCGCCCACCACGACCCGAGCCACTGGGAGTCGCTGTACCCCGCGTACGACCCCGTCGACAGGCCGCGCGGGGACGGAGCGCAGCGGGGGCGGCGGCCGCATGTGCCGTTCCAGGAAGCGCCATTTGTCCTGCCCTACGGCCGCCGCACCCCCGGCTGGCGCTCCGCGCGTGGGCAGCCCCCTCCCCCGGCGATGCAGGAGAAGGAGAGGGGCGAGTATGCCTAGTCGGGAATATTCCCCATACAGTGGCGCTGAATACACCTCCATAGCCTCCTCTAATGCTACTTTTCCTGGACTTTTTTTTTGACCAAAAGTCCTCATAGCATGCGTGCCTGACACAGCCGCTGCGACGATGGAAACGATGCGACCTCACCACCCAGCCTATAAAGCCGGGACAAGTTGTATTACTACTGAGTAGGTACGGGTATACCTAAAGGACACAACTCCCCGCTTTGATCCCAGCAGCATGCTCTTTTTCCTCTATCCTACATCTTTATCCATCATATCCCTAATCGTTGGTAGTATTTACTGGCCCGGGGTGAGCGTGCACAGGTCGCGACCACGATCCTGCTTGGTGGGGTCGCAGGTGAGCTTGGTGTTGACGACGCAAGTCAGACCGACGCCTGCACAGAGAGAGTTAGCACATGGATCACAGGAACAACAAGAGATATATAAAAAGCACTTACAGCCCTCGCGAGTGCTCGCGGCGGGGATGCAGCGGCCGGGGGCGCCGTTGTTGCAGATGTCCTGCCTCAGGTTGACGCCATGGTTGCAGCAGCCGCCGTCGGCGATGGTGCGGCCGTTGTTGTCGGCAAAGGTGCGCGGGGCCGCGCGCTTGGCCAGCGCCGCCGCCGCCAGGCACTGCTGCTGCTGCGTCCCGCACTGCGCCGTGCCGCCCGTCAGGCGCCCCCCGTTGACGGCATTGAAGCACTGGTTGTTCTGGATGTCGCACGAGCGCGTGAGCGCCGCCTTGGCGTTGGTGAAGGTGTTGCCGTTCACCGTAAAGGGCCGCTGGCCGCCCGTGTTGGTCACGGCGGGCGCCGCGCCGCCGAGGCTGCCGGAGAATTTCTGGAGGTTGCCGCCCGCCGCCTGGCGCTTGGCCACCGACGCCTGTGCGATGCACTGCTGCATCTGCGTCCCGCACTGCGCCGTACCGCCCGTGAGGCGCCCGCCGTTGACGGCGTTGAAACATTGGTTGTTCTGGATGTCGCACGACCGGGTGAGGGCGGCCTTGGCGTTGTTGAAGGTGTTGCCGTTCACCGTAAAGGGCCGCTGGCCACCGGTGTTGGTGACCGGGGGAGGGGCGCCGCCGAGGCTGCCGGTGAATTTCTGGAGGTTGCCGCCGGCCTGGCGACTCTCGAGCGCCTCGGGCTCCTCGCTCCGGACCTCGATCAGGTCCCGGCCGACGTTGCGGACGCCCTCGTTGTCGATGATGGCGGCCGAGCCGACGGCCGCGAGGGCCAGGAGAGCCGAGATGGAGAACTGCATCTTGAAAAGGGATGGGGTGGTGTCGAAAGAATGTAGGATTTAAAAAAAGAGAATGTGCTGTTCTTGGGTGTAGTAAAAACAAGACTGGCGGTTCCGGACTTCAGTCTTGGACAGAGAATAGAAAGAATCCGGCCGGCGGAAAGAAAGGAAGGTGAGAGCGACTGTGAGATGGGCTGGCGGTGGGTGGTGAGAGCAGACCCAGAGACGCCATCATGAAAGCGACGGATGCTCATCATGCTTTATACGATCCCAGTTGACAGACCCAAAAGCTCCACACAGCCTATCAAGCGCCGTCAGCGCTCTTGACAGTTGCCTCTTTTAGGAACCCGGCGCGCGACATGCCCTGAAGCGTGACAGAAGCCTTGGCACTGCCGATGTTGACATGAATCGTTCGAGACGCTGAAACGGCTCGTTTCCCACACACCCCTCGTGCTATGACTCGCTTGGGCCCTGTGCTCCCCTCGCGTCGCTCACTGGGGGACGATGCTGCCGACCACCAACGGGGCTTCTCGGTAAGGCCTTCCTGTCGGACCCCATAAGAGGAGAGCGTTCACGGACCGTTTTTCCCTCATGGTTGAGACGGGATTGACGCCAGGGGAAAGAAGTTTGATTTGGGGGACGAATCGGCACCCTTCAGGGCGCCTAGACCGACCTGCAGGGCAGTGGCGTTGAGGAGCCATCCGAGTAAACGGTACGACAGGATCCATAATATATCTGTCTACTGACGAACGGATGGGACGATGCGAGCAAGACAAGCACAACGCTGGTTAAACCAACTGCTTAAGCTTACTTGGACGCTGTGAGATGTTCGTCACATATCATCTCCAAAGGTGTCCCAAGTTTTCCAGCCCATGAGGCCCACCAGCGAACCGGCTTACGGGCATTTAGACTTTATCCCTTGAGACGGAAGCCCCGCCACGCCAGAAGTAACAATTCCAGCTAGCCCTGCCAAAGCCCCGAGGCAGGGGAAATATAAAAAAACCCTTTCTTTTTTCTTTCGTCCAGGCCATGCCCCGCCGACAGCCTCGCCGACACCCGACCCCGGCTGTCCGTCTCGATACTCTTCACCACCAGCCGTGACGCCCCCACACCCATGGCCCGGACAAAAGGATGCACCTCTAGGCACTCACACTCTGCAAGCTTCTCCAAATCAAACCCTTCATGCAAACGGGACGTCGGATTCCGCATACTGTGGGGTGCATGCTCCCATCCGGCTGACGTATGTGCGTCACCCGAAAGGAGGCGGGCATTTAGCCAGCCCGGGAGCGGCACTCAACATTCAACCCGAGAGCCCTCATCCAATAGATGCTAGTAGAAAACCACCGACGCTACTAATTACCGTTGCTGTCGCACTCTTTCTGTTGTCCTCCCCCTTGCAGCCCATCCCCCCTTCCCCGGATTTCCCTCTGCGGCCCGTAATTGGCCGAAGGCAACGCTCACCCAATGTCTAGTTAGGTAGGAGGAGCTCAATATACACAAGGACTATCCGGGGGGCGCTCCATGCGCCTCCGCCAAGGCTCAATGTAGACAGATGCTTCGTCACCTTTGCTTCCGTCGATCGACTCCGCAGCAATAACCCGACATTCATATGACACCTCTTCTCTTGCGAGCCGATATGATCGAAAGCCTGATCCTCGGCGGAAGGGAACCTCGCCTTGCCGAATAGGAAGAAAGGGCCTAGCCTGTGGATGGGGCCGATATTGTGTATGCCAATATGGGTGGTGCCTGACTGCCGACGCTGTTACCATGATTGCTTGCCGGCCGGATAAACGGGAGGTAGAAATGTCCTGGTCAGCTGTTATTCCCGGATTTCAGACGTATATATAATCTATCACACATCGGACGTCCAGCAGCCATGCAAGAAGACACCTCACCAACCCGCAGCCCGCAGCCAGCACAGCCTCTGTCACGACAACAACAACAACAACAACAACAAAAAAATACCCCCAAGCCCCCCTCCTCCCGCCGCCATGAGACCATCCGCAGCCGCCCTCCCCCTCCTGGCCGGCGCCGGCGCCGCCTCGGCCAACCCGCTCGTGGCCGGGCGGCAGCAGTCCTGCCCGGGCGTGCACGTGTTCGGGGCGCGCGAGACGACGGTGCCGCAAGGGTACGGCACGTCGCAGGGGCTCGTCAACATGGTGCTGCAGGCGTACCCGGGCAGCACCTCGGCCGCCATCGTGTACCCGGCCTGCGGCGGCCAGTCCTCGTGCGGCGGCGCCAGCTACGACAGCTCCGCCGCCCAGGGCACCCAGGCCGTCGTCAAGGCCGTCACCGACTTTAACGCCCGCTGCCCGAGCACCAAGATTGTGCTCGTGGGGTACTCGCAGGTACTCTTCGCCCCCTCCTCCCCCCTCCCCCCCCCCCAAACCAACCAAACCAACAAACCGACAAACCAAGCCCGCCTCTTTGATGACCCCGGCGTTTTGGGCTAACGGCCAAACTCTTGCTGTAATGATCCAGGGCGGCCAGATCATGGACAACGCCCTCTGCGGCGGATCTGGCTCCACACTGACCGGCAAGGCCCTCGAGGCCGTCAAGGCCGCCATCTTCATGGGCGACCCTCACAACATCGCCGGCCTCCCCTACAACGTCGGCACCTGCAAGGCCCAAGGGGTAAGTAAGCAAGGAGAGGGGCGGGCGTGGGCTCCGGCGCTTTGTATTCCAAAACCCGAGTGAACGGCATCGCTAACTGTAGCTCGTCTCACAAAGTTCGCCGCCCGCCCGAGGGGCTTCCAGTGCAAGCCCGCCAGCCCGTCCATCATCCAGTCATACTGCGACAGCACAGACCCGTGAGGACTCACAAGCTTCCCTTTTGATTTTTCTTTCCTGCTGGCTATAGGGACATATCTGACTTGTGAATCTTACCTTGTTAGGTACTGCTGCACCGGAAACGACGCCAACTCGCACCAGCAATACGTCAACAAATATGGCCGTCAGGCACTGGACTTTATCAAGAAGCTGGTCAGCGCTGCGTAAGTGTCGAGCCTCCCAACACCAATTGCCGAATATGTGAAAAAGGTACCGGATACTGTGGTAGATTGCATGACCGAGCAAACCATCGAGACTTGGCAGGTGAATGTATATAAGAATCAACGGGCTATGTTGGCCATTTGTAACTATTCGTCACACAATCCATGTTTGGAGCTCAGTTCAGTGAACATATAATCCGACTCCTATTTAAGCCCTTCCGAAAGTTGGCAGTCCAAGTTCAAGACACGATCCAAAACATTATTGTTAAAAGCAAAGGGCCAGACGCTAGGACTTCATGTCAACCCTCGGGTATTAGAGCATACAATGAAGAGCGTATACCGCAACGTTATCCATAGGCCGGGTGTCGGGGACCGGCGTCTGGGGGCAGTATTATAACACACACGAGCAACAAACGAGGGCGAAAAACAAAAACGTAGCATTGCAATATATAAGAGTAATTTAGTCGACCCAAGGTTAAACCCCCGAATGATCATCGACGTAACTACGCCATGCGGAGTGGTACTCCCTTGATCCAAACAGACGGCCATGCTTCGACCCAAGACATTTGGTATGCTCTAACCAACAAATCAACGCTTCAGGCTTCCTTGGCTAAAAGAACCCGGGCGTGGAGGGACATGGCTCATTAAACTGGACAGACTAGCGCCGATGACGGTTTAGCCGACCGACGATACGACGGAACATACAGCTTTGACACGGTGAGTCCGCCGTCCCTCGAGCTTCTCGTCATAAAAACAGCGTCTCGAAACAACTGTAGACAATTGCTGGCGTGACTTTTATGGGCTGGCCCAGCCACCGGCAACGTCAACCCACTCAGCAAGGCAGCTGCCTTCCTTGCCCTCGACATCGACAATATCGGTATCGCAACGGCAACGGCAGCCGACGCCGTTCTCCTTGGGAGCGTCGAACTGATCCCAGTACTGATCCTCTTCGATCCGCTTGCGCTCGTCCAGAGTAGTCTTCTCTAGGAATGGTATGCGCTCCGTCTGGCGTGCAGGAGCGTTCGCCGGGCAGTGCTGGATCGTGGTGTGACGGTAGCCAAAATCGCGGAAGTAGTGGATGTCGCGTGGTGCCAGAAGAGCACCTGCGGCAAGCGAATGGATGGGCGCATCACCCCACTGAGAAGTAAAACAATACATGTTAGCAACAGACATGAGACATTGTTTCAAAGCCGAGGCAAAAAACCGGTCGACGCTTACCCGTTCCATCCAGAAGCCACCACTGCGGTCCATCATCTCGAAGAAGTCTTCGTACTCCTGGCTACGGAACCAGCTGAGGCGGGCAATCTCGAAGTTGGACCAGTAGTGGCACATGTTGTACTTCTCGCCCTCCATGGCCTCGGGGTCAATGTCCTTGGGCTTGTTGCGGTTGGGGTCGTTCCGTAGCACCTCCTCGGGCAGCCCCGATTTGTCTTCCTCGGGCTCTTTGTCGGGCATCGGCTCAACAAACATTTCCCAGAGACCCTTGGACTTGAGACCCTTGAGCCTCTTGTAGGCCGAGGCGTAACGGAAGATGTTGGGCACTGTCTCACGGAGCTCCTTGACAGCGATGGTGAAGCCGTACGTCTTGTTGGCCTCGATCATCTTGAGGAAAGGGTCACTGTTTGAAGGGGCGTGTTGTTAGCACACAGGTGGTCTCGTTGGACAGTCGGCGACTCGGGATGAGAAGTTCGTACTAAGTAATGTCGCAAAAGTACTTGATTTCGGGCTCCAGGCGCCAGTACCACTCGTACTTGGCCAGAAGAGGGTGCTTGTAAAAGAATCTGTGGCACAACTGTCAGCATATCCGAGAGCACACCAGATCTGTCGGTGTCAAGACATACCCCGAGTAGAAGCGGCACATGGAGTGGTAGCTCTCCAGGCCTCCGTACATGACGGCAGCGTCACCCTGCTTGGCGATGCCCTCCTTGGCAACCTTCTCGTCGATCCAGTCGGGGTAGCCCCACATTTCGGGGCCAACGAAGCCAAACTCAACAGGGCCCGAGGTGTGGTTCTTGACAACCTCCTTGAAGGTCTCGTTGAACTCGCCGTTGTTGAGGAAGACGTAGGGGTAATGGAACCAGCGGTTGAAGTGGCGCTCAATGGACTTGATGGATTGGATAACACCATCCAGCTCCTTGTTGCGTGCCAGCACGACGAAGGCGGCATTAGCGCGCGGGGCCTTTGCAGCTTCCGTCATGGGGTCGAGACAGCCGGTGACAAAGACCTTGTCGTGGGCCTCGCTGATTTTTCTGAATGGTTGCCATGGATTAGCGATCAGCCTCTCACGGAGGAAGGTCGAAAGGGCCTTGAAGACGGGTGCCGCTGGGGAGATGGCAACGGAGCAAACGTACCGGATCGCCGGGGGCGCCCCGGCAGGGATCAAGATGCTGCCATTCGAGTTCGGATGCCTCACAAACATGACGAGGATCAGAATGACGACGATGCATGGGAACAAGATCACCACCCCCAGCGGCACCGACACGCTCGAGTTGCCTCGAAGCCGAAGAGGTCTCCGGAAGAAGGCCAGGCGAGACCATATTTTGCTCGGCCTCTGCGGTTTGTCCTTCTCGCCAACCGACGGGAGCGGTGGCGAGGTTCGGGGGACGAGCCGCCTGGCTCGTCTAAAGAGATCCATGGTCATAGACGACCGTGTATCCTGTGTAGCTGACTCCTATCCGCGAGGAGTGTGTTTGGATAGAGCGGCGGGTGTGTTTCTTGGTCGGCGGAGGTGCCGGATAATGTCGATTAAGACGAGGGGGGCGAGAAAAGTCAAGCTATCACGGGCGTGGCGGGTCTTTGAATGCTGCCGGGCGCATCAGGGTGCGTGAGCCTTTCCTGGGCCAAATGCGAGTAACGAGCGGCAGGGATGAGTCCCGTTGAATTAAAGTCGCGAGGTGAGGTTGGGTCGTGGTGATGGGCGGAGCCGGTCGAGGAAGCTGCCGACGATATGGTCGGGACGCGTCCGAGAATGAGCAAAGAAAAAATCGACCAGATAGACGGTCAAGGGCGGCCTCAAACCCAAAAAGGGCAGGGCTTGTTTATGGGGAGCGACTCGCCTGCTCGAGACAGTGCGAGCAAGACGGGACTATTGCTGCTGCGAAAGGGGGACAGCTAAGGCAGACAACGATGCAGACATTGGGGCCAGCAAATGCGGCCGCTGCGGTCGTCGAGATGTTGCGATGTGGCTTTCTCGAGAGGGAGAGGTCAAGCCAGGAGAGCAATCGAGGTCGAAACAGCAGGACTCCAGAAGATGGATCCTCTAGCCTAGTCTTTCTTCGGGTCAACTCTGATAAGAGAAGGCGTGGGCGAGATTGAGATTGGGACTTGCGGGTCCCGTCTGGGCTGTCCCAATTTTTCATCCGGAGACGGAAAGAGATTACGGAGCCAACCGTGGCTGGAACGCCTTCTCCAGGAGACGGTGGGGCCGCCCCTGGGGAAGCCTGCCAATCAGCACGCCAGCCGACTCATCCTTGATACGGAGCATGCTAGCGCCTGCCCTCTGCACCTGTCGGACGGCGGCTGTGGCTTGCCTGCCAGCTGGCAGGTGGCGGCCTGGACTCTGTGTCCGCTAAAGACCCCCCCCCCCTTTTTTTTTTTTTCTCTGCCACCTAGTTTTCCTGCTTCTCGAAGATCAAGACTCTTGACTTGGCTCGGCTGGTAAACACACCTAAGAAAAGCCCCTGCGACGTCATTTACTTCCGAGCCCCTTTTCACGTTCCCACCTCTAAAGTAACCGGTGCATTCTTGAGTCTGGGCGATGGATTCCCGACAAGAGACCAGCTGGCCGTTCGGTCTGTTGAAGCGTTCGTGTGTCCATCCCGCGTCCCCAAAACCACACAGCCACAACCCCCGTCGATCCTGGACGCATCTGGCTCAACGAAAAAACTGGCTCCTGGCGGGATTCCCGCGAAATGCCGCCATTGGCTGGGCCTGCATCCTACCACCCTGCCCCGTTCCACCACCGCCCCGGAGCTGGGAACCCAAGCAACTTCGTGATCGCGCGGCATGCAGCTCACACCTCCCGCGTTGCCCAGCCATGGCGTGGGATGAGCGAAAGGCTTCTTTGGCATTGACGACAAACACAATGTTCCAAAGTCCAGAGCAGTCCTCCAGCCTCGGTCTCGTCTCTGTCCCAAGAAAATCATGCACCGGACGCCCGATCCATGCTACAAACTTGTACCTGATCATGTCGCACCCCTCCTCGGGTTCTCTTGGCTCAAGCAGGCACCCAAGGTGCTGCGCAACACCCACCCCCAACGAGTGTTGCGGCTGAGCGAAGCAAACACCTATCTAGGCAGCCAATGGATGATGCAGAACCTGTTGCAGGATCTTTTGCGAGGATCTTTTGCGAGGATCTTTTGCGAGGATCTTTTGCGAGGGTCTTTTGTTCGACACACCGCTGGATCAGGCTGTCGCAAAAGTCCCTCCCACCACTGACGAGAATAGCAGCGATCCAGACAGCTGCTGCAGAGGACTTTTGTCAATTGGATCTGCCTTGTTATCGTGGCCCACAAGAAACCATCCAGCCTGCCTACATTCACGGATTATAAAATGAGCCGCGTCTCGTCAAGTCCATGAAAGCGCTAGTTGCTTTCCAATGATTTCATCCCCCACCTTAGAAGCTCGTCTAGCCTAGCGCCGCCAAGAGTTGAAAACGACAGTTATGGACTCAGACAAAGCGCCGGCTGTCGGCCGGCCGCGGTGTTCCGAGGACTGGGAGTGCCGAAGGCGCATCATCGAGCAGCTCTATTGGACCGAAGACCGGGGACTTGGGGAGGTCATGACCATGATGAAGCAGCTCCATGGGTTCTCTGCATCGTAATTCTCGCACCAGTCTGCCCAGGTACACAATCGCTTCTAGTAACGCATTTGGCTGACACATGTTCTTGCCCCATGTCCCTTGCAGAACAAGACAGTACAAGTCACAGTTCAAGAAGTGGCGTCTGGAGAAGAATATCAAATCCCAGGAAATGGTCCCGATGATCAACATTCGGGAGAAGCGGAGGATCCTCGAACACAAGGCCACCGTCTTTCGGCTTAGGAAACGGGAGGTTGCGCCCGAGAAGATCGACCGCTATATCAGACGATACAAAAGTGACCTTGATGTGGACGCTTGGCTGTCAGCAGATCGCGGTAGGTTGCCTGTGCTGGAACCCAGACCTCACACCTCCACGGCCCGGAATCTGGCTGCTTATCGCCCTTGCAGAGACAACACCTCCGGATGTCGAATACGGCACACCTGGTAGAAACATTACTCCGGAGAGATGCAGCACTCCCGAAGAAGAGTATTCGACCCCCAAGGAGTACAGCACTCTCGCCGGGTGCAGCGCTCCTCGAGCAGCCCGCGTATCCACTCCACCACCGTCGCCGCCACCGGAGCCTAGATCGGCTACATGGCAAACCCCGATGTCCCCATACACCCCCCAACATGGTAGAACCACCTTGTATGGTAATCAGGATCCATTCTCTCCAAAGGGTGGGTCCCCGTGTTCTCCAAAGGCCCCGGCATATGCGCGTCCTGGTCCCATATCATCGCAGTACAGAACCGGGTCGGGAAACGCACAGGAGACCTTGTCACCACCACGCTCGCCATCTTCTGGGGAATCCCCTGATAGATTCAGCGATATTCGGTTGCCGCCCCTTCTAGCGCCTCATTCGACAGCGACTGAGACCGGAACCACGTTTTGCTCAGTGGCCGCGGCGCGAACTAGCGAGCCCTTTCCTAGACAGCCCCTGACAAGTCCCTTTGAATCGGACGATACCTCTGCTAGGCATGTCACAAGATCATATGGCCTCCACGTGCCCGCAAACGGAGACGAGTCTCAAGAAGCCCGACGACAAGAGGGGCAGATCGGAGTTGCGACGGCCTTAGTGGATCGCGCAGACTTGGATATGCTTTATGAAGCGGTCCTGTCTAGGGATGCGGGAATCCGGATGCTGCTTGGTCACGGTACTGAGGTAGAGGCAGTCCAGCCCGACAGCTACACTGCGCTGCATCTTGCGGTTCAGCAGAATGACATTCATACCGCCGGGCGTCTCCTCTCATATGGGGCAAACGTCAATGCCCACTGCAATAGTCCAGATAACGAGCCCACGCCACTACACCTCGCCTGCATCCGGGGGAACTTGGCCATGGTGCGGCTTCTCCGCCACTACGGAGCCGACCCAAGCATCCCCGGAACGCTTAGGCAGAGATATTGGACCCCGTTGCACCGCGCTATTTTCCAGGGGAACGCCGACGTTGCGACGGAGCTGCTGATACCCTCTCCCGACGCGCCGTATAACCCCCGGCTGCGCAGGGTCAACACCGACCGCGTTGACGTGAATGGGGAGACTGCTCTCCACATGGCCGCGGGGGACGGGCTGGAGGCCGTCGTCAGGGCCCTCGTCCTGGCCAAGGCCCACCTCCACCCGCTCGACCGGCAAGGCCTAACGCCCCTCGACCTGGCCGTGCAGCACCAGGAGCTTGCCTGCGCGAGCCTGCTGCTCCGGTCGGGCGCCGACCCGAACTTTAGCGGCTGGCGGGCCACCCTGCCCATCCACCGCGTCGCGCGCCTCCCCCCCGCGCCGCCCGACGGCCTCGATGACGACGCCGAGGACCTCGATATCGTCGGCCTCCTCGCCTCGCACGGGGCCGACCTAGACGCTAGGGACGACGAAGGCAACACGCCCCTCATGATCGCTGTCATCACCAACAACGTCCCGCTGGCGCAGCGCCTCCTCCGCCACGGCGCCGAGAGGACCTCGGCGCACCACCCCGCCGGCCGGTCGCCGCTGCACCTCGCCATCGCCCGACGTATGCCCGCCATGGTGAACACGCTGCTACGCCACCGCGCACCCCCGGCCGCCGCGGACCGCCAGCAGGGGGACGCGACCTGCCCGCCGGGCCGCCACCACCCGGTCCGGTCCTTCTTCGACAATTACCTGGCCTTTGAGAGCCACGCCCAGGACGACGACTGGCCCGCGCTCGCCCGGTCCGTGCAGATGTCGGAGCGGCACATCCTGGAGACGGTGCGGGTGCTCTGCCGCCACTACCCCGACTTCGTCCGGCTCCGGGCCGCGCCCGGCCGGCAGACGGTGCTGCACTGGGCGGCCAGGCAGGGCCACCTGTCCATCGTCGACCACGTGCTCGAGCGGATCCGTACCGACCCGAGCCTCGCCGACGTTTTGGAGATTGCGGACGATGATGGGCGGACGGCCGAGGAGGTTGCGTTCCTTGCGCACACGGCGGCGTACGTGGCTTTTGGTTCCTGGCGGATTCGCTATTTTTCATCCTTGGACTCGAGGTAGCCGAGGCCTTCCGTCTGTGGTTGTGCGTCACGTTGCTCTGTTTGCCGTCCATAGCAAAGTCCCGTCCACATGGCCAAGCTATGTTTATTCATTACAAGTACTTTTTTTTTTTCACTGCGGCTCGACATGACTAAAAGTAGCTACCCAGGGGCCTGCCTACCTAGGCAATCAAACCCCCAACCACCGAAATGCCTCACCTCCTACCAGCTCGGTTCGGCCTGGTCCGTCACGGCGCCGTGGCTGGCGTCGCCGACGAGGCGGGCGTACTTTGCCAGCACGCCGCGGAGCGGCCTCACTTTGGGCGGGGTCCAGGCCTCGCGCCTGCGGGCTAGCTCGGCCAGGATGGCGGGCTCGTCGCCCTCGGCGGCGACGCCGTCGATGGCGATGATCTCGAGCTTGTTCCCGACGGCGTCGATGCGGACCAAGTCGCCGTCGCGCACGAGCGCGATGGGCCCGCCGCTGGCGGCCTCGGGCACGACGTGGCCGACGATGAAGCCGTGGCTGGCGCCGCTGTAGCGGCCGTCGGTGACGAGGGCCACGTTGGACAGGCCCGCGCCCATGATGGCGGCCGAGGCGCGCAGCTGCTCGGGCATGCCGGGGCCGCCCTTGGGCCCCTCGTAGCGCACGATGACGACGAGGTTGCCGTCTGTGGCCTTGATCTCGCTGTTGGCCAGGGCGGTGTCGAGCTCGTGCTCCTTGTCGTAGACGCGCGCGCGGCCCGTGAAGGACAGGCCCTCCTTGCCCGTGATCTTGGCGACGGCGCCGCCCGGGGCGAGGTTGCCGCGGAGCACGCGCAGGTGGCCCGTCTTCTTGATGGGGTTGTCCAGGGGCCGGATGATCTTCTGACCCGGGTCCAGGGACGGCCAGTCGGCGCAGTTTTCGGCTAGCGTCTTGCCCGTCACTGTGGGGATGGTGCCGTCGATGAGGCCGGCGGCGATGAGCATCTTGAGCACCGACGGGGTGCCGCCGACGTGGTAGAGGTCCTCCATGTAGAACTCGCCCGACGGGGCCAGGTCGGCCAGGAAGGGGACGCGGCTGCTGGTGCGGTCAATGTCGTCGATGGTCAGGGGCACGTCGGCCGAGTTGGCCATGGCGAGGAAGTGCAGCACGCCGTTGGTGGAGCCGCCGAGCACCATTGTGAGCACGAGGGCGTTCTCAAAGGCGGCGCGGGTCAGCAGGTCGCGCGGCCGGATATCCTTCTCCATGATGACCTTGATGGCCTCGGCCGCGCGCTCGCACTCGCGCGCCTTCTCGGGCGAGGTGGCCGGGTACGACGAGCTGCCGGGTAGGCACAGGCCCATGGCCTCGATGGCTGTCGACATGGTGTTGGCCGTGTACATGCCGCCGCACGCGCCGGCGCCCGGGCAGGCGTGGCGCTCAATGTCGTCCATGACGTCGGACGGGGTGGGGTCGGCGCCGTTGACCTTGGGCGCGCTGGCGCACGGCTTGAGCTTGCCGTAGATGTAGGCGCCCGACGCCTCGTAGCACGTCGAGATGTTGATGGGTCGGCCGAGCAGCTCCGAGTGGCCCTTGTTGATGGTGCCGCCGTAGATCATGAGGAACGGCCGGTTGTGGCGCGCGGCCGCGATGACCACGCCGGGCATGTTCTTGTCGCACCCGGGGATGGAGATGTTGGCGTCGTGGTGCTGTGCGCACGTCACCGTTTCGATGCTGTCGGCAATGATCTCGCGCGTCTGGAGTGAAAATCGCATTCCTTTTCATAGGGGGGGCCACGGGCACCCATGTTGTCAGCCTCGTCCGCCTCGGCAAGATGCGCGTCACCCAAGGGGTAGAAAGAGTCGTGGCCTCCTCACCTTCGCCTCCCATGGTGATGGCGTCAGACACTCCCACGGTGTTGTACTGCCATGCCAGCATATCCTGCTTCAATACCGCCTTCTTGACAATCTTTCCTAGGTCGAGCACTTCTGCATGTTAGCCGTTGCGCCTGGCGGGTGCCAGGCAAGGCTAGAGCGCCTTGCATGGTGCCGATTGGGGCGTCCCCTTACAGTGGGTGCTAGTAGCCATTCATATCCCAAATTAGCTGCAGTCCTTGTGAGCGATTCCGGACAGACGCTCAAGCGATGGCACATACTTGCATGGGTTGCCCTCCCACCATACAGTGGCGATGCCGACCTGTGGGGCATTCTTCATCATCTCCTTGTTGGGCACGCCGGATGCGTAAAGCATCGCCTGGGGGCCAGGAGGAGGGCCATCAGCATCATCACCCGATTATGCTACTCGGGTAGAATCACAAGACGACGTATACGGACCTGGGCGCCAGGGAAGTCATGGCCCCTTGTGATCTTGGCCGAGTATCTGTTGAGAGGTCCGCCAGGGGGAAGGCGCTCCCAGTCGAGGTAGTCCCCGGGCTTGGTCTCGCGGCTGTGTTCTTGCTTCTCGCTCATTGTGGCCGTGTGCTGTGAGATCCAGAGGCAAGTGCTTTATTTTCTCCCACACACTAGTCTTGCGGACTAGTCAGCGATGCCGTGGCTCCAAGGCTTCGATGCTGATGATGATGATGATGGAGCTACCCGGTGTGTGTTACAAGCAAGTATGGGACAACGACGGCTAGACACGATGATTACCGCGGATTCAGGGTCGACTAGCAGCGTAGATTACTCGGGAGAAAACACGACTCTTAAGCCGGGTAAGGAAACAGTGCACCAAGCCCAGGACGGATCACGCTCGACGAAGAGGCCCGGGGTCGGAGCTCGTGCCGTGAGGGGTCAAAGAAGACGATGGGTCGACTACCCCGTGGGGCAGGCTAATAGCGACGATGCGGCGTGGAGCTGGCGGCAGAAAGACCAGTGGAGGCAGTATGTGGGCTTCCGAGGACCCGAAAATATATCACACGCTCTCTATCATAGGGCAAGCCCGGGAAGAGGTCCAGCGAGGGGTCCGCGCGGCTGATGAATACCGAGATGGATATTGGACCAGGCTTCCCCACCATGGAGAGGAGGGGCCAAGGTACATCGAGCTCGGCTCCAGGTCGAGGTTATCCTAGCCAAGGTTTGGGGGGAATTTCGTTCAAGGCCACCACAAGCGTGTGGGTGGGGGTTTTTTTTCGGAGCGTGTTTTTGTGGCTCTCAAGAGGGCTTGACGGCAAAGCCAAAAGCTCCGGCTGATGTCCCGGCGTGGAGAATGAGGGGTAGCCATGACGACAGCCCAGAGAGGGCCAGCGGGCAGCGGGCAGCAGGCCGAGGGGCGCTCAACGGCAACAAGCCGGGCCCAGGCCATGGCGACCGGAGGCATGGCCGCGCGTGTCCCCCACGCACAGCACAGTGGGAGAGGGCCTCAAACGGGCGCGCATGACACAGAAGGTCCCACGGCAGACCTAGTTAGTGCGCGGGGTTACGAATCACGGAACGCGTGGGTGGTGTTGATAGGTGAGGGCGGTCGTTGTGGAAGGTGGAGAGAGAGGCCAATGGGCCGCCTGGGCTCTTCTGCATTGCATTTCTGCTGTCTCCTAGGTTGGGGGGTTTTGGGTTGACGAGCTGGCGAGGGTGAGGCCGTCGTTGCCGTCGCACATCGAAAGGGACATGCAGGCTGGCAGACTGCGGTGCAGCAAGGAGTTCGCCTCGGTGCATGTCCCCCCACTAACACTTGAAAAAAAAATTTGAAAAAAAAAAAAGATGGAAGGATGATGGAATATTGATGTGCATAGGTTACACATAACAGGTGGGTGAATTTGGTGCGAGCTGAATGGTGGGAGAGTCTTCCATGCCGTGGGGTCTTGGCCGATGTTCGGCGAGTGGGGCGGCCCTCGGGCTGGGCTTTTCCGGAAACCCGACCGAGCACGGGAAGGCACGTTTTGACGTCTTGAATTTTTGGAGGAAGGCCAGACCCGATCTCTGGTCGATCGAGCACTGCCCGCCATTCATCTCAGCCTCTCTCTTATTGTTACATTATTGCTGCCTCCTATATCTAATCCCAACTGTGTATAGTATGGTACACTCCCACCCTGAACGCCCCATTTATGGATGAATCCCAGGCCCGTCCCGAGAAAACCACGTCTCCAGGCCCATCGTGATGCCTTGCCAAAGTCTAAAATCCCAAAACCCAGCCAAACGTCTGTGCAAATGTCCATGCCCCATGCCCTGCCATATGCCCCGTGCGGAATGCGAAATAAAATAAAGCCATTAAGTAGCACCCCGCATGTCATCTTGTGCCGCCGCCCGCTCGTCACTGCCTCCTCCTGTCATCTGTCCCACACGCGCTATTGCGCCGCCGCCTCATCAAGGAGCCGCATCGCCGCCTCGGACCGCGGCGTCAGCGAGCACTCAAAGGGGTAGGGGTACCTGTGGAAATTGCTCCTGTCAGCTGCTGGCCACGACATCCCGAGACACTCATTACGTAGTTGATGGGGTAGCGCCAAGGAGGCAAGGGGTTGAGAGGTTACGAGAAAAAAAAAAGACGACAAGGGGGTTGAACTTACACTTGACCCCTGAACGACATCTTGACGTCCGCATCGCGCGGACGGCCGTCCGGACCCCGGGGCGGGCCGATGTCGAGCGTGGCCAGGATGGTGGCGAAGATTATGAGCAGGCTGTTCTCGGCCATGTGCCTGCCCACGCACACCCTGCGCCCGAAGCCAAAGTTGCCCGTCGGGAACGGCTCGCCCCGGCCGAGCGCGTCGTCGCTGCTGCTGCTAACGCCTCTCTCCTTGGGCAGATACCGCTCGGGCAGGAACGCGTCCGGGTCCGAGTAGACGGTCCGGTCGTGGTTCATTGCCCACACGTTCGGGTACACGACGGTGCCGCGCGGGATGAACATGCCGCGGTACTCGTCGTCCTCGAGCGACGCGTGCGGGATCCCGAGCGGCGACAGCGGGCTGCTGCGGTACACCTCCTGGAGCACCAGCTTCAGGTACTGCAGCCGCGGCAGGTCGCCCCACGTCGGGAGCCGCGGTTGCTGCTGCTGCCCCCGGCTCTTGTCCTCTGCTGTCCCTGGCCTCCTCTCATCCTGTCCCAGCACGCGGTCGATCTCTTCTTGCGCCAGCCTTCGCACCCGCGGGTTCTGCATCAGGTACATGATGAAGAGCTTCACCGTGGTTGCCGTCTTTATATCGAGACGCCAGATGGCCGAGTCAGTCAGTGCCTGTTTTCTCCTTCAAGCCTAGTCGGCGGGGGACAGTGTGTCTCTTACCGTTTCGCTCCCGGCAATGAGTACCGTGGCGGCTGCCCCCTTGATGTCGTCCATGGTAAAGGTGTTGGGCAGCCCTCTCTCCTGGTTCTCGTGGTATATGTCGAGTCGCTCGCGCACGAAGCACTTCTTCATCACCTTGCGCTTCTGTCTCGGGGGTCATGCATGCCAACGTTAGCTCATCCGGTCCCCCTCGTGTTCTGGAAGTTCCACCGAACGTTTCAGGTGTAACAAGTTCGGACGTGAACTAAACATGAGGCCATGTAGGGGGTGGTCGCAACGCGGGATGCAGAACATACCGCATCACTCAGCGCCGCCTCGAAGGGCACATTGGTCACGTTCTCAATCGCCGGCTTCCACTTCTGCGCGTACCTGACTCGCTCCATGAAGGGCAGCCAGGATGGCAGAAATCTGGCTTCAACATCCCATGTCGTCCAGTCAGTACACGTGCGTCTTCGGGTGTGTGTGTGTGTGGGAGGGAGTATAGACGGCCCAGCAGGGGGGCTGTCACGAGCCAAGACCACACATACTCATCGGAAACATGTCGACGATGCTGCCCGCGGGCGGGCCGGCGTTGCCGATGGCCTCGGCGGCGCTGTCCGAGAGCCCGACGTAGCGGTCGTCGTCGCCGCCGATCTCGATGCCGTACGCGGCCTCCATGACGACCCCGACGGCGAAGCGGCGCGCCGCGAGGCCCCAGGCCGCCGGCCGCCGCGCCATCGACGCCACGGCGCGGACGGCCTCGCGGCGCTGCGCGTCCCGGTACTCGTGCGCCCGCGTCCGCGAGAAGGGCGGCTGCAGCGCCCGCCGGTGCTGGAGCATCTTGGGCCCCCAGCGGAGCCACGTCAGGGTTGGTGCCCAGCCCATTCTATCGCGGGGTGTGGTTCGGTTAGCTTTTTCTGGTTGCTTCCGCTTTCGTCTCTTCCCTCTCCCGTGTTGGCGTCCGCCCCTCTTATATACTTACAGTTCCCACAGCACGAACCGCGGACGGTCGCCATAGTTGTAGCCGCGCTTGTCGAGCAGCTCCACGGCCGCCTTGAGGCTGTTCAGCACGATCCACTTTTGGCCAAAGGCCGACAAGTATAGGACGTCGGAGTCTAGAGCGTCCATCAACACTGTTAGCACACGATCGTTTCTTCGGGGAAAAAAAAGCCCATCCCCTCCTAATCCGGAAGCGTTCGAGAGGACATACCGTACTCTACGCCCCACTCGGCATACTTCTTGAACGGCGCCTCAAAGGGGACCACGCGCGAGTGGCCCAGCAGGAACTCGCCAGGGGGGCCGGGCGGCAGCGGGAGGCGCTTCGCGCGCCGCCTGTGGCCCTGGCTGAGCGCAGCGGGCCGCAGCGGCTCCGGCAGCAACTTGGCCAGGACCATAGCCAGGCCCAGAAGGCCCACGCTAAAGCTCACGACCAGGGCCAGTGTGCTGGACGAGGCGCCCAGGGTTGAGGCCGAGGTACACGACCACGCCATTGCCCGGAGGAGAACCATCTTGGTATTTTTGGTTTGTTTTGTCTGCTCTGAAGTCTCGTGGTGCTTCGTGGCTGAAAAAAAAGAAACGAGACGAAAAGAATGAGAGGAAGAGGAACAGAAAAAAGAAAAGAAGGAAGGAGAGAAAGTTGTGCCTGGTCCCCTTAGGGCGGTGCGTGAAAGAAAGGGGGCGAGATGACAAGATATACAAGAAGAGAAAAACCGTGAAACCAAACAAAAATCTTAAGCCCGTGGTGATATAATACCGGGGGTCGCCAGCCGTTGGGCGATAGTGGGACTGCAGTACCGGGTAGTGAGCGGTAGGTCCCGGGCGGGTGTGGATAAGTGTCCGTGTTAGGGTTGTGTCTATGTATGGGTAGTACGTGGACGAGAGGCCGGTGGGTTCCACAGCTTTTCCTGACGGCGGGATAGCCCGGCGGATGAATAAGTGGTCTTCAGAATCCCACGCTGTGTGACGCCAGGGCTGGCTTTATATGATGAAAGGGGTACGACAAGAAACGCCAGCGAGGGCGGGAAAAGGAGGGCAGTTGTTGTTGTTGCTGCTGTTGGCCCATGTGCCACACACCACATACACACGTCCCGACTTGTCGTCCCTTTGATGGCGTCTGTTGTTACCAACCCGCCTCCCTCTTGATGACACTAGCATGTGGTGTATGGCTGTTGCCGCTATCTTATATCTCCATTACTGCTCGTGTCGTATGGACACATTGGGGCATTAGGGTGTAACAGTTGGGTAGGTACCTGACTTGGAATAGAAACAAAAAAAGAGAGAACTCCCTGCACACCCCCCTTACTCAGAAGTCAGCGGTGAAGAGAGAGAAATAAGGGAAGCTATACGGTCGAGCCATGATCCCGGACGAGTCAGGGAGCCTCTGGTGTTCGAGGAGATGACTTATCAACACCAACAGGCCGTCATCGTCCCGCAGGGTCCCGGCTGGTGGCAGATGTGCCAGGGATGAGGGATCTAGAAGAAGGTCAGTCAGAAAAGAGAAACGATGATAGGTAATGAGATGGGATGAAAAAAATAAGGGGTGATTGGAAAAAAAAAAAAAAAAAAAAAAAGATGAAAAAAGTCCGCCGCACCAAGGAGCGGGGCCGTTCTTCTGTGGCTGTTTGTCATGCACGCCCTTTCAACCCATCTCATCTTGTCATTTTGCCCATTCTTGTTTTTATTACTCTTCTTTTCCCCCCTTGTCCAAAATTGCATGTTAATGGGAGGCGGTTGCTCGTTCGTCATGCAGACAGGCGGTGTTCCATGGCACTGCGCAGTCTTGTAAGCCACCCTGTGCTGATCAGCATCGTCCTTTTTCTTCCACCTCGTACTGCTTTACTTATTTGCGCCTCCAATACCGACTCGCCGCAGCGTCGTCATGCGCTCGATTCCTTATTTGTCGAACTGCAGTAGATTATTTACCACACCCCGAGCTCATGGTGGTCTTCGTTGATGCCGTGCACACGGACTGTGATATACGACACACCTTTTTCGGCCGGCAGGCACAGCAGGCACGGCAGGCACTGCAGGCACGGCAGGCAAGCCAAGCAAAGTAGAGCGAAAAGCAAAAACTAACGCACGGGTGATGTGCCCGACAAACCCACAAGGGAGAAAAAAAAGAACAGGAAAAAAAACCACACCTTGGGATCTCCGGCTGGGCAGCGACGGGTCCAGTCCCTGAGGCTAGGTACCCGGCGGCATTGCCAACCCCCACTGCGTATTTCTTTTTTTCTTCGTTTTTTCCTCTCCCCTGTCCCTGTATTTCTCCATCCTGTCCTGTCACCCGGAATAGGTCAGGTTTTAGCGTCGAGCCGGAGCCCCCACTACGACTTTGGCTTCCTTGCCCTGTCCTCTTTTCTCCATCGCTCGGGCCACAATTCGTCTCCCTATCGGGGCCTGGTACCCATCATCTTTATTTTTTGTTGCTTCTGGTGCCGGCATGTCTTGGAAGCAGCTAAGAAAAGACGTATCAGGTTTGCCGCGGTGCGGAACATAGAGCGTCGTTCCGAAATGCGTTGCGGTGTGCAATCTCGATGGGGACGGATGGGCGGGGAGGCTTAGAAATGCTTGGAATGCGGTCGTCTCTGGTCTCTGCCGAGCTCGATCGGGCCAGGCGGCTGGTCCCAGACTGCTGGGAGTGGGAGTGGGAGGGAGGGGTGTGGCGGGCGTGGGCGTGAGGCGTGAGGCGCTAGAGGCGCACGACACGCACACCCAGACAAACGACGATAAGGCGACAAGCGAAATGGAGGCGGCGTGCCAAGACCGTGCACCTGACAAGAGCGGAGGAAAGCAGATTCAGGCCTTGCCCCATCTGAACAGGCCCGCATATGCCGGCCTGCCCATCTTGGCCCTGGCGCGCGGCACGGCGTCAAGACGGTGCCGTCGACAAGGCAGCAAGGCAAGGGGAAGGGAGGGCTGGTGTGCTAGACCTGGTGGTGGTGCTGGACCTGGTGCTGGATCTGAACCCGAACCTGTGCCTGAGAATGACCCCGAACATGAACCTGGTGCTGGACCTGGGATGCTGGGACTGGTTCAGTGTCGGGATGCGGACGTGCGTGCTCACAGACGGCCAGGTCAGATGGTGTGCGCCCGTTTCGATCTGGCCGGAAATATTCAACGTACGACGACCCCGGCTGCGATGTGGAAAGGGGCGGGGCGGGGCGGGAGAAAACGACAGAGCAGAAAATATGGGACGTCTCGGCAGTGTCGTGTCTGCCGACCAGGGTCGGGGTGGGATGCGTGCATTCGTGGCCTTATCGAAGGGCGTTGTCATGGCGGCGGATGATGGGCAGCAGACCAGCAGGCCAACAGGGCAACGCAACAACAGGAACCTGGAACGCGGGCGACATCGCAGGCGGCCGGGATGGGACGACCAAGGGAACCTTGTCGGCGTCGAGGGCGACGAGGAGGAGGAAGTAAGGGAGTGAAGGGAGCGCAGGGCGGCGTCGGGCCCCCCGACTGCAAGCCTAACGTTGGTGCGACCGTTGTGGCTTGACGACGTCCAAACGACGTTGGCGGCCTTTGTGGGCTGGGG